CCACACACACACACACACACGCACACACAGACACACACACACACACACACACTATCTGAACACGGTTGGGAGCCGGGTGTCTCTTACGGCGGAAAACGAGAACAACGTGTTAATACATAGCCGCCCCATCAGAATCGACCCATCACGATTGTATGTGGAACGCATGGTGCAAAATGCAATGCAATATGGAGAACATAGACACAAGGAACCCCGCTTTTGCACACGTTCGGGAATTGCGTGGCACTTACAGGGGAATAGGCCAACAACACTCACGCTTTCGCCGCAACACTGCAACAATGGTTCCAGAGACAGACTGCATGACATATGTGTGTGTGTGTGTGTGTGTGTGTGTGCGTGTGTGTGTGTGTGTGTGTGTGTGTTCGTGACAGAGAGAGAGAGAGAGAAGGAGGTGGACATCACGTTTCTCTCCTGTCCTTCAAAACACATGCTGCTACAATCTCGCACCTCTTGATCAAAGTTCGCAAACAGTCGTCGACTCGAAACGCATGTTTGCATCGCCCGCAATCGTTGCTCGCACACCCCGCGCCTGCGTTGCTGACGACATGCGACATGACCTCCGTCATTATTGAGACGAGGTGACATATACAGTCCGTTGCAAGCCGTGCCATTTGTCGTTTGTTCGCTGATTCCACAAAAGCCCGAAAGTTGTCACTCGTCATCGGACTAAAGACGCCAGAGGACCCTACGTGTTCGTGCGGCACGCTGCTGCCGAACACAAATGGGAAATTGTGTCGGGTTTTGTATTGTTTAAAACTTTGGAAACCGTGGCACGAAATCAGCATGTGACTTGCTACGCATTGCGATCGTGCTGCTTGGCAGCCGTCCGCACGGTCCGCCGTGTCGTCCTCCTTCACAAATCGCGTCTCTCCGCCGGTGTCATTGTTTTCCTTGCCACATCCCTCCCCTTCCAGCCACATTTGGTGTCCGCACGAGAACGACGCACGTGTGTGCTTCAGACTGTCCATCACATCTGTGCAACTGCTCATCAGAGCCCATATATTGGGGGGAGTCAAAGCGCTCTGCCATTGAAGGTCAATGTCGGCCCGATATTTGAGACACGTATAGTAGTTGATAGTTTCTACACAATGTTTGATGCAGTCCTCTGAGAAGGACAGAAGATCAACGTGTGCGTTCAACGGAGCAGACTCGTCGCCGCACCCGTTTTCCTGGCTATCGTAGCACGCCCATCCTTATCTCAACACACATTGTTCTCCTGGTGGACAACACTTCACATCCCACTGATGAGGGACATGTCGGGGGATTTCCCGCGGCAGACGTCTCCGTCAATTTATGCGAATATCAACAGGCGTGAACGCAATTTCTGTCTCTTTCAAGATCGATTCTAGGTCTTCAACCCTGTGCCTCAGACTATTTCTCTCTTTGTGATATCGATCCAAATTGTCAAACAACCACAACATGCTGCACCAGTCGTGATCCATGTTTTCCTTCAACAACGAAACCTCCTTCGCATAACGGTCAATCAACGCTGTCATCTGTCTACCCAACTCTCTCTCCTCACGCAGTTCGGTCGTCAGTTTATCTATAAGTTCCTGGTGCCTCTGAACAATGTCCGCCCAGCACCCATCTATCATGGCTCTTGCTCTATCCTGGGCCTTGACCACATCGCATGGGGTCGCAGTCATTCTGCCCGCGTTTGCACTACTCGGTGTTGCCGGGTTCGTATACTTTCTTGATATCTGGAAAATTGAAAGACAGATATCATTTATGTCTTTGCCAGCTCGGGCATCAGTCCAAAGAAGGCAATGGTTTTTTCCATTAGTATCGTGTGTTATGGCAGAAACAGATAGATACATAGATAGATAGATAGATAGATAGATAGATAGATAGATAGATAGATAGATAGATAGATAGATAGATAGATAGAGAGAGAGAGAGAGAGAGAGATGTGAATGAAGGGAGTGAAAGAACAAACTGGATGCGAGGTGCAAAATCGTGGCGAAGTTGCGACAATGGCGCGTCTTCTAAGGGATGCGGTAACATGTTAAGAGTCTCTCTCTCTCTCTCTCTCTCTCTCTCTCTCTCTCTCTCTCTCTCTCTCTCTCTCTCTCTCTCTCTGGTATTACGGAAGCACATTACTTACACCATGTGACGTTGTGGTTGGGAAGTAGCGGCCGAATATGAAGACGTTGTTGCCGTAAACCGGCGTATCTGACACCCACTCCCCACCCTTGTGGAA